CCTGCGGCCCGACCCGCCCCCGCCCCGGCTCCCCGGGAGAGCAGCTCCATGGCAGGTCCGTAAACCTGCCGCTTTCATTTCACGTCTTAAATGTGCATGAAGGAATTAAACTGCACGAGTGAATAACAGCATTAGTTTCAATTAATTTTTATCCTGGCAACAATAAACTTTAGAAACAAAGCGCTTTTACATCCTTAATTAGTCTTGCTTCCCATCTGTAGTCTTTTAAGTGCCTGCTCCTTGATTTAACTTTGTCCCTCCTTCAGAGCCGCCTCCTTTTTTATTCTTTTCCCTTTTTTCTCGTTCCCCCTTCCAGACTGCTGCCTGTTTCTTTCCTGCAACCTTTCACCTCCCTTGTCCCTATCTGTCTGCTCTGCTCTGTGCAGTTTATTTCTCCTGTATTTTCCCAACATCAACAGCAGTATTGGTTACCATGGCCCCAAGCTATGTGCAGAGGTGGGAAAGCTTCATCCGCCCAAAAGTTCTTACACTTTTGAAGTCTTTCTTTTAGTGGGATCTGAAATGTATCATCTAGAGTGTGTATTAAATGAACAGTATTCCTGAAGGCTTTAGAGCAAGAAAGGCAACACCCTGGAAAATTCTGCAGTCTTTCAGCATTCTCTGCCCTAGGGTTATAGCCCTGGGCACGGAGCTGAATGGAGCTCTTACAACTGCCTTCTGTTTACCTTTTATGGTTAAAATAACAGCTTAGCAAAGAAGCAACTTCATGGAGAAACGATTCAGTGAAATCATCTCAAGCTGTAGCAGCATAGCTAGTTTAATCACCCCTAGAGAGCTGAACAACTGTGAGCACAATGGGACACAAAATCATTTTGTGTGTAAATGAGCATGGCATTGTGATTATTTCACTTTGCATGGGCAAATAGTTTTTACAAGCAGTACTTATGCAGTTAGCTTAGAAAGGCAGAAAAAGATAAGCTGGCTCTGAAAGATCTTGGTGTGTAATGTTTGAAAAACTAAATATTCACATAATTTGGGAATCAGGCTCTATTGATTTTGCCTTCAGCAGGTTCCTGTGTTACTTATTAGAGCAGGGTTATTGCCTGTGCCACTAGTTGGGATGCTGTATCCTGTTGTAGGCAACTAAAGAGCAAGGATTATTTTACATGGTTTAATAAATGAAGTTTGTTAGTGTTTCTGCAATATTTACCCTTAAGGTTTTAATTTTCACATCCATATTAGAAAATATGTGCATAAAGACTTTCGCTGGATAAATACATTTAGGATTTTGCTTTGTGCATAAAATAAGTACATTACTCAGTGTGATGAATTTTAGCTGCATTTTACATTAAGAAGAGGAAGGAGTCATTAGAAATAGGGTTACGGTACCTTAAGAAATACGGGGTATTTATATTTTTTTTTGGAGCAATAGGAGTGTTCTCAGTGCCCTTTATGTAGTGCTTAGCAATTGTGCCCCTTGATAATTTGCTCATACGGAAATGATTGAATTCCACAACTTTAATAAAAATCTAGAATTCATTTTTTTAGTACGAATCCTCTCCAACCAGGGGAAAAGCCAGTGTTTTAATTCCCCTTTTCCTCCTCTCCCCCAAAAAGCCAGTGGCACCCTCAATAAGTATGAAAAGCCATGAAAGTTTGAGAACTATTTTAGCTTTCCAGTGATTTTCTATAATTAAGTGTTTTTTCAACACATACTCTAGCTGAGAAATGCCAAAAGCAGAGGATTGTTCAAAAGGTCCCTCCAGTGAATAGTATAAATTAAATATCTACTGTGTGAGTATGGCCTCACTGAGAATCTCAGTCTTTACAGATCAAGGAATTTACTGGTATACTAACATTAAACAAAATCCTAAGATAGCAGCAGTGTTTAAATATGCACAAATAGATTCATATCACTTGATCTTTAGCTATCTGTGCATATTTTAAAATTGAAGTCTGTATTTCAAGACAAATGGTTAAATGTAAGACACGTTTACAGAGGACTGGAAGTCCTTTGATTTCATTTGGAAATTGTAACAGGGGGTGCAGATGAGCCCTAATTAGACTCTTGTTTTGTGAAACTGCATGAGATTTATTTCTAAGGCAGCCCTGTACCATGCGAAGTCTGTACCTTTATCATTAGTGATAATGGTTGAGGTCTGAACAAAGACAGGGTTGACATTCAGCCTGGATCTTCTGACCCTTTCATTTAAGTGAAGGAGTAGAGACTGAACATGAGTTTACAGTGCTCTTTGGTAAGAAAAAAACCAGCAACCTTTGTCTGTGTTGGCAGACAGATGAGGCACCCACAGATTAGTAAACACGTCGCTAGAATACTGTAGGTACTTACAGACTAAGTTGTTTTTAAAACTTAGTTCTTTTATTTATGCTAAATGACATATTTACTGAAGATTGGCCACAACAGTCTCTTGTGGGAAACAAGAAAGCAACGTCTTCAGTCATGAAAGGATTCAGTCACTTTCCTTGAAGGTGGTGCTGTAGTAAAAATGTTAATGCCCAATTTCGCATCGGCTGACACAGAAGTCCTAGGACAGAGTTGGTACTTGCGTCGTGTTCAGTGCAGATGTCCGTCCAGCCTCCGAAGAGAAAAGGATGTGGATTCATAATGGGGTGATGTATTTCTGTGCTGTAGATGCAAGAAATTCTTAGGAGCTAACCAAGATGAAATACAGTAAATGGAGATGTTGTGATGACTTTGTGAAGCCGTTCAGATGTATTACGATTTTTCTCCAGAGCTTGGAAATTGTTTTGCAAAGAATGTTGCTAATTGTGTGTTCATCGAGTGGCATAGCCAGGCAAAATACTGCTAAGAGAAAGGCGAGACCAGCTTCAGATTTCTAAGAAACATTGTCAAAGTAATGTGGGAGAAATGGGAATTCACTTTGCAGTGCTGCATGTAAAGTGCTTGTCAGATGTAAGGAAGAGCCTGGGTGCTTGGTAGCATGCTTGAATTACAAAATACCAAGAAAATTAGATTATATTCAGAAATGTCTTCAACTATAATGTTTTGCATATGTTGCTTTCCCCATAAGGGGGAGAATGGATGGACATTTTCCTAAACTTTTCTGAAAGGGTTTTTTTCCATTTGACATGTGCCGTCTGCACCGATTGAACTGAAATCAGCTTTGAGACACACACTTCATGCAGAATAAGCTGTGCTTTTCTCACAGAAGAGAATTGAGGAATTTTCTTTCGCTATGGTTGTCCTGTTCATTTTTAAGACATTTCAGCATTTTTGGATTTGATTTTGCTGAAGATTTCGGGACTCAATTCAGTAATTTCACTAATTTTCCAGTATTTTTAGGGCAGGAAACATTAGGTGGATTGTTGAATTTATAATTTCACATGCTGCATTGTATAGTACTTTCTAATGTATCTTGTCATGAAAACATGGGTCAGTTTATATATCTTTCTGTTTTCGCTGCTTCCAGGCATTAATTCTTTCAGTTTGAAAGCTTATTAGTTGTTTAGGTCTAATATTAAGGCTTAACTGAAAATTATCCATTTATTTCACAATTATTGAAAATAAACCAGAAAATTGATCTTAGTTTGATGTGAAATTTACTACATGTATAAACTAAATGCCTTAGGTACTGAGGAAGTCACTAATTTAGAGGTGTCTTGTTACTGCGACAAACTTGCAAAAACCCCCTGAATCCCAATTCACAAATTGGTTATTCGTTTGTCAGGGGATATTTCACATCTAACACATAAGCCCGCGACCTTTAATTAGAATTTTGCAGTTTGTTTTGTGCCCCTTGAGGCTGACACCTTGAAAATTTTTTTTTTTCTTGATTTCTTATTGCTAATAAGCATCTTTCCCTTCCCCTCTGGTACTTAGGAGAAAACGATGCAAATACACTTAATTACAGTGGTGGCAATAATTTGTTAGCTGAATATGTGATCAGGCAGATGCAAAAATGATCTGATTAGATCTGTGATCACAGATGGAAAGAAAGGTAACACACTGCCACATTTAAGAGAAACTGTTCTTTTTTGCCTCCCCGCCGCAGGAGGGAAGAAGCATGTCCCGTCTGTCTCTAACACGGTCCCCGGTTTCTCCTCTGGCTGCTCAAGGAATTCCTCTCCCAGCTCAACTCACCAAGTCGAACGCTCCCGTGCACATCGATGTAGGAGGACACATGTACACCAGCAGCCTGGCTACCCTGACCAAGTACCCAGACTCCAGGTAAGACCCTGGTGTTTGCAGGCTCGCTGTTGGCTGCGTGGAAGGAGGCAGGTACCTGTGAGGGATATTGCAGTGCGAAGGACGATTTATTATATATTCACCGCTTATGAATAATTCAGGTTCCGATTTATACAGTAACTTCACTGGGGTTCTGCAGGAAAAAAAAAGCCTGTAAAATTTATGTATTATTTAGAGAGTCTATTCATTTTCTCTCTCAACGTCTCCTGCGCTGTGCTGATGCGTTTGAAGCACCTGTTGGTGTGCTGCCCTAGATTATTTCCAACTGCACCAGGCAACTTCTTTCTTTCAGATGGAAGGCGAAAAAACCTGGTTTTTAATTCCTTAAGAAAGCAGAATGGTTCTGCTACCCTGGGACTAATGGATGCTTCTGTGGGCCAGTCCAAATCGTGACCTCACTGGGAGCTGTGTGCCTCTGTGTCAGCAGTTGTTCCTTTGGGCAGGGGCTGGCTGACCCTCTCTGGACAGGCTGCATTGAATCCTTGAGTGCTCGAAGGTGGCTGCTTTGTTCTGGGCAGGTTGGTGATGTGTCTGGAGAGATTTATATGGATCTGGCCAGTATTCTCTCAGAGTATACTCCAGACATGCCAAATTATGAATAGATGTGGCATGAGATGATGTTTGTGTATGACATAGTGTCTGTTGTTTGCCTGGCTCCCAGTCCTGCAGGGCACTGGGCACCATGAGGGATAGGGCAGGGTCAGGCCTGTGACATTGTTAAGGGTTAAAGAACATTCATTGGAGCAGGATATTAAGATGTACCTGATTTTGATTCAGTTATGGTCACTAAACCAGTGCATGTTTTTGTCACTGAGACAATTCAGAGGGTGCCTCATACATACTCAGGTGGGAATGTGCAGTGTCAGGGTGCCCAGCACACTGTTGACTCCAAACCAAACCAAAGCCCAGGTCAGCAGGTTTGGTTGCCAGAGGTTTTGTCCTGCATGGCCAGAATTCTGTAAGTGATAGATTTTTAATTTTTTTTTTTTTTTTTTGGTATGACAACCAATGTAAAGCTATAGTTTCATTTGAAGATTTTTCCTTTAGAAGAACTAAGGGTTTTTGCAGATTTGGCAGGTTCCCAAGCAATAAATGACATTTATGGAGACACCTTGAAATGCCTCTGATGTCATAAAGCATATGGCTGTGATTTCATTTCAAGGAAAGGGAGCTGCTGAAATTCTCTATGGAAAAAAAGCCCAATTATTAGAATACCTGTATTTTATTGGCAGAACAAAATAATGTGATTTTTCTGGACAGTTTGTTTAATGAGGTCTGTGTGGTACTATTTTAATCATAGAGGAGAAATCTGTTCAGTGGGGAGAGATTGTAACAGAGAAACAGGCAAATGCTTCATAGTATTAAAAAATACAGAGAAGATTCAGCAGTTGTAATAGAGTGGCACATCTGTTTCCACGTTTTAAAATATCGCTGCTGACACTATGTTTAAAATATGCCCCACATCAAACTTACTTAATAAAAGCTTCAGTTACGGAAGCTTTGGAAGAATATACATAAATTCACAGATTTTGTTTCAAGAGAATAGAGTACTGAACCAATTTTTTTTTGCCTGTTTGATAAATAACAGAATCATATTTCTTCAGATTTTGTACTTTGCTTAAACTGAAAGTACAAAACTGTGACTGACCAGAGCTCACATGCTGCCCGATGTTTTGCTGTGTGCTGTCTTTTGTTTGCATCGCTATGTTATCTCATAAGGCTTGAAGGCTTTTTTAGCTGCTCAAACTTCAGCTCTCACTGAAGTAAGAGCTTCCAGGATGAGACCCTTCACCAGCATCCCAAGTAGGACATATTGCTACATACATTATGAAGCCGGATGAAGGTTACACCATAATTTATTATATTTTCCTTTTTTATATATATATTTACATATTATTTGTTCTTCTTCAGCACTGCATAATAGACTTGGTTGTTACCCCCCACTGAGTCTGGCCTACTCTCATTCCTGGCTAAGGCAGAGTACTTGCAGTTATTCCAGTGGGAATGGTTGGAGCTCCTGATGGTGCTTCCCTGCCCTGGTGTGTATCTGCCATATGGCACAGACTGTCCTTGCAGTGATCTGCCTGGGAGAGGACTCCTGGGTCTCTCACAGGTGCAGGAAGGAGGAGGTAGCTTTTCTGAGCACAACATCTGGAAATAATGCCAGAGCACTGTTAGCTTGTGCTCAGAGGTAACATGCATGGCCACATCCAGAGGCATGGCCATGCTCATCCACTTGCAGAGCTTTCTGCTTTATTTTGGACAGCACATCAAACTCCTGAGTTGAGCACGAGTTTAAAAGCTTCAAATCCAAGAAGTCACACAAATTTGTAGATCATATTTCAGCAGAAGATGTAAGCATATTGCTAAATCTTAGTGAAGTCACATAAAATAGTTTGGGCTCACTGAAATTGAAAGCTGTGGGAATAAACTTCCTGTTTATTTGTGTTACAATCCCTATTGCTTTCTCAGTGCTCCCAAATCCTAAATAGGCTTTTAGCTTGTAGGCTTTTTAGCTGATAATGTACATGGATGTTTAGACTGTGAGCATGTGTATAAATACAGCCTGGGTGTGCATGCACAGAAACACCACATGCTGATGGGAAACAGAAAAAGTTGTGTTTATACTTCCTTAGTGTTTTGAGGAGGTCCAGTCCTGTTTGGTCCTGAACAAACTCAGTCCACATTGACTTCAGTGAGAGGGAAGAGCTCCCAGCAGCTGGCCAGATCGGGCCCAGCAGGAGCAAGTATAGATATGACCAGTTCCTGCCCATACCTGCTCTGCAGTCACCCCTCTGGTGTGATATAAATTACACCTGACAGCAGGCAGCGTGATACATTTCTTATTGTAATCTGTTAGGATTGACTGTGCTCTGCCCTCTCAGCTGGCTCTGCTTGGCTGTTCCCAGGTTAGGTATGTGGTTGCCTCTAATTTGGGAAGAAAAAGGACCCAGTTCTGGAAGTCTTACTCAAGTGAGTGAATGGCTGTTAATGTGAAGCCAGAGGCCAAATTTTGCATTTCAGTGATCCCAGAGTTGTTTCAGAGCAACTTTGGCAAAGTCTTTGATGTTGTTTGTATTAGTGCAGCTGCTGTGACCAGAGCATTTGTCCACTGATTAAATTTGCATAAGTAAAGGGTGCCAGATTAGGCATTAAAGGGGGTAGCCGTCCTCTTTCCAGTAAATTTTTATGGGCTACATAAATTCTCTCATCTATAAAAGGAGAGAACTTGAGCAGTGCACAACTGGCGAGACAAAGGAGAAGAGAGTTAAAGAGCCACTGTCAAAGGTGGTATCTAAACCACTAGCACTCACCTTAGGCACTACATACCTTTCCAGTTGGCTTTTTGAATGAAGCAGCATACAGGAAGAAGAGCTGGCCTTTCAGAGGGTGAAGGGCAAAGGGAGATGAGAAACATAAAAAAGAAATTGTGATCAACAACAGCATAATGTCAGTGGTCACACAAATTACCTCAGAAATAACATTATTATTCCCTTTTTGTACAGCTACTTGAGGCCACTTTCCATGCGTACCCAAAATTGACATTAAAGTTGATAAGCTTTGGAGGTACAAGGAGGCTGATGTTGACTTACTTGGATCTGACTAAGGCTTAATTTCAGTTTGTTTTCAGCAAATTCTCCTACTGAAACTCCCAACTCTTGTAGTTCTGAGGTACAGGTAAAAAAGAGAAAAAAACCCTGTCGATTTCTAGTGACTCTTACCATCAGTGTCTTATTTCTAAAGTAACTGGCTAAGTAGACAAATTATTCATCTTTGATAGCATTTCCTCTAGAAATTCCATTCCTGTTTTCACCCAGAGGACCTCTAAAGCAGCCCCTTCACACATTGACACTTGAATGTGTATTTATATGACAGATTGTAAGGGCTGCAAAACCTCCAGCACATCTATAAAGTGAGTTGCAAATTGTATTTATCCAAGGGAGTGAGACAATTCTTACGTTTGGAAAGCAAACCTGCACCAGAAGTCCAGGCTCCTGACAGGCAGTCAGGAATACCCAAGGGCATTGCCAGAGCCTCCAGTGTTACTCCCACTGAACTAAGTGGCAGATGTCTCATTGCCTTCCAGTGGAAAAGAAGGTCCAAATCCCTGTATACCACAGCAACCCCCAGCTTCTTGATGTCACTGGAAATTTTGATACCACCTTGAAGTTTTATTAGAAAGCAGAACAAGAGTTCTCATCAGAAGCCTGTCCGTTTTGCAGCCCTGATTAGTGTTTTTAACTCAGAGAATTGCTGTGAGCTCTCTCTGAGTTGTTCTGCTATACGAGGTAAATATATTTACCTTCCATTCTTGATAATTCATATTTTTGTATAACCCTCTATTAAAGATATGTTCATGTGTTTGTAATGTTGTTATAAAAGCTCATGCTTTCTGTGGCATCACTTGGGACAGAAGGAATAATTTTCCGTGAAGTGACGCTGTCCAGGTGGGAAGAGTGTGGGGTCACAGATCCCAGAGAGCCTCCCCTGATGGTTTGTAGCACACTGTGTTTGGGACCTCTCTGCTCCCAGCCTTTCCCCTTCAGCACAACAGAGTTTCTGGGCCCCGTGGCCCAAGCCATGAGTTGTCACACAGTGCACCTCTTGGGGCACCTGGGCTCTACCACCTCTTTCTCTGGAGGCTGTGTCCTCCAGAGAAAACCAGCACAGGCTTTATTAATTCTTTCAGAAGCTAATGATCTCTCTACGAGACAGGAAAGTTTTCCAGGCATATCCTTGCCTCACTTTCCTGTGAATCCATGGACTTTTTTGGTGATTTGCCAAGGAATCCCCTAAGCATGTGTCTTCTCTGAATGTTTCTTGTCAAAATACACTGTTTTTCGTTTATAGACCCACCCTCAGACAAGGTCTCCTGCCAAGTATGACCTTCTGTTTCTAGCTACTCTCTGAGTATCTGTAGATTTTAATTCCCCTGCCTTTTCCTCCGGCACCTCCATCTCTCTGGTCGCTGGAGCTCAGCA